ATGAGTGCCCCATCGAGTGGTTCCACTTTTCTTGTGTGGGACTCAACCATAAACCAAAGGGCAAGTGGTACTGCCCCAAATGTCGGGGGAAGAACGAGAAAACAATGGACAAAGCCCTGGAAAAGTCCAAGAAAGAAAGGGCTTACAACAGGTAGTTTGTGGACATTCACACGAGAGAACAGAACCCGCCAGTGTATTTATGGTGTCGCTGCCTTTTCAGAAGTCTGAGGATGGTCAGATTTGTATTTTTTAGAGAATGTTAGGAACAGATCCTCTCCATGGGATGGCAGAAACAGCCTGTGTCGTCATGGTGTACCTGTAACCAGACTGAGTCTGCAGATCGGCATTTTAGAAACTACAAATATAGGTTCGGATTAAACATGTCAGCAAGTGTCAGACTGGTTTTTGGGGTTGGGGAGTGACTTGGAAGTAACCTAACAGATGTATAAAGAAGAGATTTGATTTGGCTGTTTTAACAAAAATGTTATGGTTTACAAAAAAAAATTAGCCAGGTTGCTGAAGTACAGCAAGTGTGCTTCTTGCTACCATAATGTAAATCCACATGACAAGTTGGTCAAAGGTTTAAAGTCTAAATATTATTTTTTAAAATGGTAAATGGGTAATTTTACATGACATATTTTATACATGGCCTATTCACCAACTGGCCATTTTTAATGACTGGGTACATTTTTAATAGGTCAGACACAAGTGGTCCAGGCAGTGGGTCCAAGTCTTGCCTTTGCTACCCTAGGTCATAGTGTAGCCACCTTTAACTTATATGAAGTGTATAAATGTACATTTCCCAGCCACCTTGCTCCTGCTGTATTATAACCAGAAGTGCAGCCTGGTGCTGTTGTGAAGCCAAGGTGTGCGTCCTGCTGTGTGTGTGAGCTGTATAGATGTCACGTCAAGAAATAAATGAAACTTGGCCAGTCTGTTTCTTTAGCATTTAATTTTAACATGAATCATTTTAAATTTTTTGTCTTAAAAATTTATACACCAGCAGTTTAGACAAAGCCTTAAGCAAATTGTATATTATTGATCTCACGTAATAAGGAAGTATACATTACATCCATGCCAGCAAATAAATGTCACAAACTATTTAGAGCAGAGGTTAGGAAATGACTGTGTACTTGAGACCCAGCCCCACCATCTGTTCTGTGTGGCCTGTGAGCTAAGAATGGTCTCTGTGTTTCTCAGTGGTTTCAAAAATCACATTTCATGATACATGAAAGTCCTATGAAATTCAGATTTGAGTGTCTATAAATAAAAACTCATTGGAACACAGCCATGCTTATTTCCTTATGTGCTGTCTGTGGCTGCTCCTCGTAGGACTGAGACCGGCTCTGCAGAGATTGCCTGCTGACAGCCGATGCTGGCCACCCATCGGTGGCACATGTCCTTAACTACCCACTTACTAGAGTCCAGACCTCCATACCTGCGTGCTGTGTGCTTTGCTCAAGCTCTGGATCTGTTGAAATGTGTTGTGCAGAGCCTGGGCCTCCAGGCCTGGTCACTGTAGAGTGGGTGTGGCTCCTGTTTGTAATGTCCATCAGGTAGCTGTCTGCTGAGGACTGATGGGAAATTTTTTCTTACACTTAACGGTCTTTCCATTGTAGAGTTACTGGGTGAACACCGAGTCACAGCCCATAATGCCTTAAACTTCAGATCTTTGTATATTGAGGTTTGAACTTTGTGCTCATTGACACTCACAAGACACTTTTGAACATTTACTTTCTAGCAGAGTATTAGAACCTTTAAGAATAAATCTACCAGCCGAACAGTGCTGGCACATACCTTTAATCCCAGCTCCCTGGGAGAAAGAGGCAGGTGGATCTCTGTGAGTGTGAGGCCAGACTGGTCTACAGAGTGAGTTCCAGGGCAACCAGAGCTACAAAGAGAAACCCTGTCTTGAAAACAACAAAAAATATTCTAACTGAGCCAGTGTTTAATAATGATGATAAAAGTAACCAGAGAGAAGGCTCAGCGGTTGAGTACTTCTTACTCGTGTAGAAAACTTTTAATTCCCAGTACCTACGTGGCTCAGGAACCAATTCCTTCTGACCTGCACAGGACCAGGCACATGGGTGGTAAAACATAGGCAGGCAAACAATCAACACATTAAAACAAAACAAAAACTGGATGAAGCAGCAGGCAGACATCTCTATGAATTTGAGGCCAGCCTGGCAATTCCAGTCCAGCCAGGGCTATACAGTAAGACCCTGACTCGAAGGGAGAAAAAGTAAAAACCCGTAATTGTTTGGGGGTTTCTCTTTTCTAATTAAGCCAGTGATGAAAAGTTAGAAGACTGAAAGGAGTGTGGTTTCTTTATCCCATATTGCAGACAATCAGGTAGGTAAGAGACACCGGAGCACCTGGATGTGTGTGACCCTCATCTGTCCTTCTGGGGTTTGCTCCTCGATGTGTGTGGCCCTTGCCTGTCCTGGGGTTTGCTCCTAACCCTGCTTATCTCGTGCTCTAGGTTCTTCACTTTGACAATGCCTCCTTCATGTTGGTGTGGTTTTAGAGAAATAAGGGAGACTGCTCCAGCAAGACGGTGGCATGCTGGCTCAGTGGGGCATGTTGAGAGTTTCCTAATAGTGACCCATGGTACCACCTTGAATGTGCACAAATCATGGTACCGTCTCAGACGAGTTGTGCTGTGTTTGACTGGCTTGAATCACTGCTCAGTTCCAGTGGGCAGTAAGAAAGTCACGGGTGAGCACCTTGATGTGTCAGGATCTAGGGTTGCCACCATAAGCAGCAGGAATATGCTCTGCTACCCAGGCAATTACTGGAGCAGGACACATCTCTTGGGACGGCTGCTTCTAGCTGTTGAGTATTTATTCACTGTGGACATAGTTCCGATAGGTCCAAGATAGTCTCCATAGAATGCAGTACCTTTGTTGGTTGCTTTGGTTTTTCCATGTGTCTGGGTCTTTTGCCTGCATGGTTGTCTGCACTGCTTTGTGCTTGTTGCCCACAGAGGCCAAAAGAGAGAGTGCATTGGGTCCCTTGAGTTAGAGATGGTTGTGAGCCATGTGGATAGGTGATGGGAATCAAACACAGGTCCTCTGCAAGTGCTCCAAGGAAATGGTAAATTGAATGAAGGGAGGTGTGGGAGGTTCCGGAGGGTTAACACCCCAGGTGCTAGGAAGGGATGCTGCCTAGTTAAGGGTCCTTTCCAGCGTTAGCAGAACTGTGCCTATTCTGATTCCTGAGATGCCACCGGCATGCTGTTTGTATGTTGGACAGAGTAGATGTTTCGTAGCTGATTCCTGTGGTATTGGGTAGTTTGTGGTCATCCCCAGCCTTTCTGTTAGGCAGAGTGCCGTTCAGTCTCTAATTTGAAGCTCTTTGATGTAGTCAGCCCATCAGATGAGCTCACTGAGTTTGCATCTCTGTCTTAATTTACTGTCCATTCCTCTTTAGTCTCAGAATCCCCTTGGCCAAGTAGCTTGAGAGTTGGTGGGGTCTGGGTTTTTCCATCTGGAAACCTAATCTGGGCCTGATTTCCTGAGGCACAGGGCATGCTTGATCTAAACCTCTTGAATTTGTAGGAGGGATTCAGGAAGACAACAGATAGTTTCGCAGAGTGGGAGGAGTAAAGAAGTGGCCTATTGTGACTCGAAATTAGCCTGTAGGGGTTTTTAACTCATTAACAATGGGGTGCTAAACCCACATCCTGCTGTGATTACAGGGTGTGTGGCACAGGGAGTGAAAACAGTGAGTCCAGTCCTTCCTTTTTAGTGCCTCATGTTTGGTATTACCTAATTTTGTTCAGAAAGATAGGGATAGCATCTTCCCCCATTTAAAATACTGGGCAGAGGAAGTTACCAGAAGTAACAGGTTAAATAATTGTAGCATTTCTATTAAAACCCTTGTGGCCAAATGTGATACACACTTTTGATCCCAGCACACAGGAGGCGAAGGCAGGCAGGTCTCTGAGGTCTAGACTAGCCTGGTCTACAGAGTGAGTTCCAGAACAGCCAGGGCTGTACAAAGAGACCCTGTCATGGGGTGGGGAGGTAGGGGAACACTGTGACTAATGCCTTTGAAGATGCAGGCACTTGCCTCCAAGCCTGACGACCCGAAGGAGAGATTGGTTGAATTTTTGGGTTTTTTTGAGACAGGGTTTCGTAGCATAGCCCTAGCTGTTCTGGACAGAGATCCACCTGCCTCTGCCTCCTGAGTGCTGGAATCAAAGGCACGTACCACCACTACCCTAAATTTCAACTTTTATATGTATGTATGAGTCCTCTTTATGCCAGAAGAGGGCATCAGATCCCATTATAGATGATTGTGAGCCACCAGCATGTGGGTGCTGGGAATTGCACTCAGGACCTCTGGAAGAGTACTCAGTGCTCTTAACCACTGAGCCATCACTTCAGCCCTAAGATTGGACTTTTAAAAGTTGTCCTCTGACCTCCACTCTCATGCTGTGGCACATATGCACACATAGTGCACACCTGCTCACACACACACAATACATTTTTTGATGTGTGTTAAGCAAGCCAACTTCATATCAAAGCATTGAGCATTGCTAGTGCGCACACTAGATCATCACTCAGTTTTGAGGATTCAGGGATGACACCCATTTGCTAATGCTGCAGGACAAGGGCATTCCTTCAACTCTTGGTTACTTTGTGTTAAGTCTTCTCTTCATGTTGCTCACATTGGCCTTGAACAGGTGATGCCAGTGTTTTAGTTTTATGGGCTAAGGTTATGTGGGTTTTGTTTTCAGTATTAGATCTTTCTCACATCCCTGTGGCCAAGAAGACCCAGTTGTGGGTTAGGGATTTTGTTTGTTTTTTAAGTTTTTTTAGACGGTTTCTCTGTGTAGTCCTGGCTGTCCTGGAACTCACTCTGTAGATCAGGCTGGCCTCGAACTCACAGAGATCTGCCTGTCTCTGCTTCCTGAGTGCCAGGATTAAAGGTGTGCACCACCACCTGGCAGTTTTGAGATGGGTCTGAAAATCTCTGTAGCTGGGGCTGGTCTCAAAAGCCAGGCCATCTTGCCTACACTTCCCTAGTGCTGTGATTACAGGGTGTGCTACCAACCACACCAGCTTCTAGTGGTGGGTTTCAGTCTCAGGTGAGGGACCTGATTAACGAAAGACCAAAGGGTCTGTGCTGCTTCTGTAGCATCTACTGCCTTGTTCCAGGTGGCCTGGAGGTCAGCCTTGGTGTTGCCTTGGGTTAATTGATACAGCCAGGAGCTGTGACCAGTCACGTGGAGTAGGACTACTGTGAATCTTCGCTAAATTGAAGAAGATGGAAGAAACTCTGGGGCACATAGACCTTAAGGTTTTCCTGAGTGCTTTGTAATGTGCCTCTAGTAGCAGTCACCTGGCATGAGTTTGTCTCTCACTCCATCACAACAACAACGCACAGAAAGGAAAGGGATGTATATTCACATTGTGGGGCTGTCTTCCTGCATCCATGGGGAACCCCCAGACGCTCGAGGTAAGCTCTCACCAGACAGAAGAGGAATTTCTTTTTTTTTTTTCTCTTTCTCTCTTTTTTTATTAATTCAAATTAGGAACAAGCTTAACTTCACATGTCAACCCCTTCTCCCTCTCCTTTCCCTCGCCCCCAACGGAAGAGGAAATTTTTTTTTTTTTTTTTGGTTTTTTGAGAAAGTTTCTCTGTGGCTTTGGAGGCTGTCCTGGAACTAGCTGTTGTAGACCAGGCTGCTCTCGAACTCACAGAGATCCACCTGCCTTTGCCTCCCGAGTGCTGGGATTAAAGGCGTGCGCCACCAACGCCTGGCCGGAAGAGGAATTTCTAATCCATTCTAAAAACATACCTGAAAGGAGACTTGTAGTTGGTTTCTGTGGAGAGAAGTTTCCTGTGTTTGTGTTAGATGCTATTCAGAAAGCAATATTTTTCTTTTTAAAAATTTTTTTAATTTAAATTAGAAACAATCTTGCAATATTTGTCAATGATTGTTTGGGACATTGTGCTTACATTAGCTTGATTTTTTTTTAGACAAGTATGGCCTCAAACACACACCTCCCTGCCTTGGCCTCCTTACTGTTGGCATTACAGATATCCACTACCACATCCAACTCTAATGTGTTAGATTGTGATCACAAAATTTGACATTTTATCAAACTTATAAAATATAAAATGATTGCTTATAGAGTATAACTGTCCATTTACAAAGATACTGAGAAATGATTTGTTTCCAGTTTGTTTTGATTTTTTTTGTTTGCTTGTTTGTTTGTTTGTTTGTTTGAGTCAGGGTTTCTGGAACTCGCTCTGTAGTCCAGGCTGGCCTTAAA